AATTTAAGTGGAGGGATGATTCTTCCAATTCTACATGGAAAAAGCAATTAGTTGGATGCTCCAGAGCAGAAGAGAAGCCTCAGACTTCTTTATGGGCTGAGAGAAGACAGAGAACATCAATAAACTCATGCTATCTTCAAAAGCAGTATTTGGGCAGAGTGCAGTGGCTCACACATGCAATCCTAGCACTTTTGGGAGGCTGAGGTGGGACCAGAGCTTGAGCCCAGGAGTTGGAGATCAGCCTGGGCAACATGGCAAAACTGAGTCTCTACAAAAGAGACACAAAAATAAAACAAAGTAAAATAAAATAATTAGGCATGGTGGTACATGTCTATAGTCTCAGCTACTTGGGAGGCTGAGGTGGTAGAATCATCTGAGCTGGGGAGGTTGAGGTTGAAGTGAGCTGAAATTGCACCACAGCACTCCAGCCTGGGCAATAGGGTGAGACCCTGTCTCAAACAAACAAACAAACAAACAAACAAAACCAACCACCAACAACAAAAAAAGGCAACATTCACTGGCACCTGCCTGCAAATCCCTAGTAAGTTTAATACTATTCACAGAAAAATGAACATTCACGTTGTTTTGCATCTCCTGCTATTAAATTTGCAAGCAAAAGCAGGACCTATGAAAAGCAGAATGAGATTGTTGAGTGGCAAACCTAATGAAGTGTTCTCAACCTCTTGATAATTTACCATTGTTGAGATTATTCCTTAACAAGAAAACAATTTTAAAAGAATTTCCTCCCAAAGTTTATTTGCCTGATTCCATAGATTAGCTGCTACAAATGTTCTGTATCAGAGAGACTCAAACCCAGTAAGAGCCTTCTCTTCCAATCTACGAAAAAGGCACATTTCAATACACAATGCTGGCCACACTATTTTAGATAATGATGGAAAATGACAGCTGACAGCCAGTTTGGGCCACATGCCAACTGTTTCCATTTTTCTAAAAATGCTAAAATTAATTGCTATAATACTCTGTTTTCAAGGAAAATTGGTATTGATAAATGACAAGATATTATCAACTAGAATCCTAAAAAACTGAAGATAATAATGCCTTTTTGATCTGAAATACCAGTTTTTAAACTTTTAATGTTCTGCAGTATAAGTAAACACATCTCAACAGCTTTAAATATTTTCATATATTTTATTTTTTAAACTCTTATAACTTTGCAAGCTAGCAGTAAAATATTGCCTTCAATATTTTACTAATTAGCACCGTATACCTTTTAAAGCTAACTGGAACATTGATTCATTATAAATGATTGTAAAAGAAAATAATCATTTCAAATGCCAAATTAATCTCAAATAACAAGTGAACTATTATTTTTACCTTTTGGCTCTATGCACAAAGATGTATTTCAAAGATGAAATTAACTCTATTAATATGTTTTGTCAATCTAGCAAATCAAAGTATCACAGTTTAAAGCAATATTTAATCTCTGAAATTACTAATGAAGCATACAAGAAAGTTAAGGAATCAGCTACAAAAACAAAAGATACTACATAACTGATTTATAGTCCCCTACTTTTTAAAAGTATGAGGAAATAAATGAAAAATTCCATGGTGCAAGTATCGGTTACGCATATTGTTTAGTGTATGTCATTATTCTCTTTTTGCTTATTAGAGTCTGGCCTTACCAAAAACCGTTGAAATGTCCAGGAAAAACTCACAGGACAGCTGGAAGCCTGAAATAAAATTGCTCAGTGCAAAAAGATCCCAAACCATTCATATAATTTTAAGTGGAAGCCTAGACATTTCAACCCTATTTTTAATATTCACGTCTGAAAAATCTTTCAAAAATATGGAAAAAAACTAATCATTCTCAAATTATTTCCACACATTCAAAAAAAAATTTTAAGGGATGTTTTCTTTCCTGTTTTCTGATAAAAGCACTCCTCAGAGCTATGGGTTAAGTTCTGAGCCATGACTGACTGCTTACTAGCATGCCTGTTTTGCATACCAGTAGAATCAAGTCCAGTTTTGCCATTTGTGGATAACTATGACAAGATACAAAAGCATGTGTTTGCCATAAATAGCCCTGGCTAACAGCAAACCGCTCACACTGAACAGATCAAATTCTCTATAAGGAGCGCAGCCTGGACCACAGCCAAATCCCACTACTAATGTTTAAGACTGCTTTATCAATTCCTACTCCAATTCAATTTGCAAAATATATTCAGAAATAGGTGAAATGACTGTTCCAAAACATCAGAAATATTAGTGTTGAAGGACATTTTACAAATATTTTCATTATGACCAAATAAGCAATGAGAGCTTCCTGCTACAACTACTTAGAAATGTAAATGTAAATAAAAAAATAACTATGCTAAGTTATCCAGAGAGCAAATCAGATATTGAAAAGTATTTATGCCAAAGTGAAAAAAATAATTTCTGATCTTCATATTAACACATAAGGAAATAAATACACTAATGTTTATAAAAGTACCATTCTTTAACAATGGTATTTTATATTAGTTGGCTTTAAGATAGACTATTTTTTAAACCAAATAAATCCAACAAATCTGGAAAACATCACACATGAATGTTATACAAAAAAAATTCTCAAATGACCAGTGCAGAGATTAATAGCTCTTCTTACTCTAGAAGTTGTTTCATATAACATTTTGCAAAAATTCCAAGGAAAACAAGGCAACGTTCTGTAATATGCCACAATTTTTATTGCAACGTGGCCATTTTTGTGAGGGTGGGGAGTTTGATCTCAAAACAATGTTCCATTTAAGGCTCTTTTATACAGAAATTGCCATCATGACTGATAATCAAAATACCTTTAGTGTTGCAGGACTCACATGGTAAACATAAAACCCCTACACTTATTCAGTAGTGTACACTCAATGGAAAACAAATAGGCATTAATAACAGCTATTTAAGAAGATATGCAGGTAACAGGAATGAACACTGAGGTACTAGGATAAGTTGATGACACAGTTAACAAAACTTAATTGGCATTCCTTTTAGGGTATTAAACTTGTTACAAAAAGTGCTTTTAATGCATAGTGTTATATCCGTGCTGCCATGTCACAAAAATAGGCTTGCCAAGGCAGGTGAGGTGTATCAATGCTCAATCCTCACAGAACTGCAATCAAGTGCAACTATAAATAATACTGAAAAAAGTTGACCAACTGACCAGTGGATAATACTTTCAAGGCATTCAGTTAGCTTATCCTTTGTAGTATTCTAAGCTATTCACATTGAAGATCACATTCATTGTAGTGTCTGCTGCAAGGGAGGCATATAACCAGTTGTTTTGGCTAAAATGTGACAGGAAGGCATTCCTTGGGTTCTACATAAAAGTAACAGTATTAAACAGTCTAATGGCAATCACTGATAGGCTGCTTAAATAAATGATATTTCCTTCATTGTGTTGGAAGGGCCCAGTGGAAAAAAACAAAAAACAAAACCTAATACTATTCCAATGGTCTGAGCTAGAGAAATGGAAGCTCCTTAAGATCCAGATGGCACTTGACTGTCATTTTATAATGGTTTTCCTTCAAGTGAAACTACTACATTGCCTCCCAATTTCTCTCCAAGTGTCGAACGGTCCTTAATATCATCCAAGCCATTTACTTGCCACTCATGTTTAATACCTAAAAGAAAAAACATTAACCTATTACTTTATTATAATTAATAAAGAGTAATTTCTCTGCACAAAATATTCAAGTTTGTACCTGTAAATTTCTTTTTAATGGCATCTTTAGAGCTAGCGTAAATCATCTTGCTTTTTAAAGGTGCACTTTCAGGAGCCCTACGGGAAAAAAAAAATTGTTTAATCCCACTTATAAGAAAAACAAAGGTATGACCGACTATGATAACAACAATCCTTGCATTTTAAAAGTACTTTTTTCTTTTTTTTTTACACACCAGAATATAAATACTAGGTCTTCTTTCTTAGACTCTTTTGTTTCGTATGTGGCATCGTACAAAGCATATCGGCAATCATTCAGAGGTAGCAACTTCACAAAAGATGTGTAGGGGTCCTCTACAGTATCACCAATGTCACCCACCAAGATCTGCTTTGCTTCCTCTACAATTATTTGTCTTTTGTCATCGCTTAAACAGAAGAGAACTGCTTTCTTTCTCTTTTTGATCTCCTCTTGTGTAGAAGATTTCCTTACTTTCATATCATTAAAAACTTTGATGACTTCATCATTCACTGTAACTCCAGAAGCCTGAAAATAAACACAGAACAGTAATTCAGAACATGTATTTTGGTTTTAACCAAAATTACTGTTTGCCTAGAGAAGACTCACTTTAGTCTGGACATCAAAAATTGCACCGTACCATGTAAGTCGTCCAATCAGATTTGCCACATTTTAAGAATCAGTAGACGATACAGCGAAGGAGTCTAACTCATCCTGCCCATTCATCCTTCTTAAAGGGGTTTGGACGTGGAAGCGAAAGGGACAAATACAAGTTGTCCCATCCCTGAAATGTTTCCTATTTCACTGGGTGATGTCAGAGCTTCAGGAGCGGCAGCAAAAATACCTTCTGTATTGTGTCAACTCGGCTGGCCTTAAAAAAACACTTTTGGATTTCAGTTAATGCTTCTACTATTTTTTTCTTTAAAGTCATCCTAGCCACTAACGTTTCCTCATAAGGAAAGAGAATCAAGCATAAACTCCAAACCGCCCACGGCCCCACAGCTCACATGCAGACACTCCAAAACTAACGGGTCCAGTGTAAAAAGCTTTTACCGCGAGAAAGCATTTTAAAAAGTGTTTTCCCTCTTCTTTAATCTCCCCGTAAGGGTTTTATCACAGGCCGTCCAGACCCTGACCCACACAGCCTTCGCAGCACACACCAATTTTAAAGCCCCGCGTGTTAAATAAAATTAGGAAGCGAAAGCCAAAGGCGGCGCGAGCGGCTGCAGTCCGAAGACCCTCTCGCGCCTCCGGCCGCCCGGCCTTTACCCCCAACCCGCGCCGGCGCCCGCGCCCTCCCCCCCCCAAAATCCAAAGAGCAGCAGGGCCGGGCCTGACGGCGGGAGGGCAGGCCGGTAGGCTGGAGAGCGGCGGGGCCGCAGCGCAGAAGCGCCCACCTTGGAGGCCAAAATCAGGTTAAAATGGCGGCCTCACTCCCGGGGCCGTGCGGGGGGCTTTTCTCGCCACGCCGCGGCCTCCCGGCCGGCGCGCCCCTCTTACCATAGTGCCCTCGGCTGTGGCTGCGGCGGCAGCTCGGGCTCCGGCTCTGTGGCACTGGGAGGAGAAGGAGGGGCAGGCGGGTGGGCAGCGGCGAGTGCGGGGCACGCCGGGAGCTGCAGCCCGAGGGAGGCGGCGGGGCTCGGCGGGCCGCAGGCGGCGGGCGGGGCAGTCACGTGGGCACGCCCGGTTCCCCCGCCGGCGCCGCCCGCTCCCAGGCAGGCCCTCGTCTCGCGGCCCCGGCCCCCCAGCTGCCCGCGTCCTCGACGTGACCCCAGAGCGCGAGTCCTGCAGGCCGGGGGAGCGGCGCGGCGGTAGCAGAGCCCCGGCGGCCTGGCAGAGCCGCCTTCAGGCCCCGGGCACCACCCGTCAGCCGGCGGGAGAACCTGCTGGACGCCCAGAGGGGCGTTTCCACCGCCTCCGTGGGGCCCTGCGCCAGGGTGAGTGCGTGTGAGGGGAACTCCTGCGAAGGTGTCTTTCCTTATTTTCCTGTGGTTTCCCCGAAAGAGGCTGGATTTCAACATTTTGAGCCTTTTTGGAAACCCCCCAGTTGTTCAGAGTTAAATGAGAATAAACATTACAAGGGATTGCCCCAGTTGATAGTACTTAGCAAAAACAAAATGATACGCAGTGTTGGAAAATCACTTTTGCAAACTCTAGTTGAAATAATGATGATTTTAAAAAATTAGGTGGTAGCATTCCTTAGTAATACTCTTTTACATTTTAGACTTCCTAGGAAATAGATTGTACTCTCTCTCAGTCATTTCATGAAGCTCCAGCTATGACAGACATCAAATAAGCCGACGCAGCCTCTTCTAGCAAAGCCCATTAAACTGCGCCAAGGCAGCTTCTCTAACTTTTTTTTTAAACCTTAACTCCTCCATGCTTCAGGGTTCTTCATCTGTAAAAGAAACTGTTATTAAGTTATTGTTAAGGCCCTTCCAGCTTTAGATTTCAGTTTCTGAGTATATCAGTGTTCAGTAGGAAATGGTGTGTTGGTGGTGGTCTCAGGATTAAGGTTAGGCATGGAGAATCATGAGATGGTGTTTGCCCTAGATTTTGTGATAACTTCTTTCAGCCAAAATTTACTGTATTTTAAATGGAACATGTTAGGCATCGAAACATAGACCTACTTTTCTGTCTTATATCTTGGGTTTGTTTTCTTAATTGGAAGATAGACTTCACTTAGAGACAAAAATTGAGAAGGAATTTCCCAATGTCTAAGCATGAATCCCAAGCAAGTGGATACTACTTCATGTCTAGCTAGCACCTTATAATTCATGAAACCTTTCACTTTATCTGTTGAACTTCCAAGAAGTTATGGAGAATGGATCTCCAAGGTTCTGATCATCTGCTATGTGTAGGTATCAGCAAATTACTGTCCACTTCATCTTGGGATCTCCTTCCCTTCCCAACCTCGAAGTTTTGCACCAGCCCCAGCAGAAACCAGGTCTGATGACACTGGGACCTAGAGTGGTTGTCAGAACCTCTCCCACCAAAGCTGGGGATTCCAAACATGTTAGCCCCTAGCTTGGACATCAACCTTTCCAAGCCTCCCATTCCCTCTTACCTTCCGCAGACAGAGATTGTAATTCTCATGCTCTAGGATTCTTTTCCTGAAGATATTTTTGTCTTGCATACATTTTGTTACATAGTAATAATTTGTTTATGCCTTCTGCCACCCTACTGAGCTATAAACTCCTTAAGGATCTGAGTCCTAGTTATCTTTGAATTTCTGGAACCTGTACGTATTAAACAACGGTGGTGCTTAACAGATGCTGAAATAATAAATTTAAGATGCTTTAGTGGTATAAAGACAACAAAAAGGAAGCTTCTGAAGATTTCGAGGCCTTTCTACATGCCCTTGTGAGGATGGTGCTGAGAACCTCAGGGCCAGTAGCAGCTTTCTGTCTTCACCCCTGTGAGTAATAACCAGAACTTACCACCCCTTGGTAAAGGTGTAGCATTGCCAATCATTGCTGCGTGACTTTTGGTCCCTGTGTAATGGAGGGATCTGAGTGCCAGACACCAGGTGTATTAGTGTTCGATTATTGCTATAACAAATTACCACAAAATTACTTGCTTAAAACAACACAAATTTGCTGGGCATGATGGCTCACACCTGTAATTCCAGCTCTTTGGGAGGCCAAGTCAGGCGGATCACCTGAGGTCAGGAGGTTTTGACACCAGCCTGGCCAACATGGAGAAACCCCATCTCTACTAAAAATACAAAAAAATTAGCCGGGCATTGTGGCGGTTGCCTGTAATCCCAGCTACTAGGGAGGCTGAGGCAAGAGAATCACTTGAACCCATGAGTCAGTCAGAGGTTGCAGTGAGCTGAGATTATGCTACTGGGCTCCAACCTGGGCGACAGAGCGGGACTCTATCTAAAAAAGAACCACAAAAGACAGAAAACAAAAAACACAAATTGATCATTTATCGTCTTACAGAGTCAGAGAAATAAGTCTATTTTTAAAAAGAGAGATAGTCTCTCATTCTGTTGCCCACCTAGGCTGCTGGAGTGCAGGGTGTGATCAGAGCTCACTGCAGCCTCAAACTCCTGGCCTCAAGTGATCCTCCTGCCTCAGCCTCCTGAATAGTTGGTATTACATGCATAAGCCACTGCAACTGGCAGAAATAAGCCTGATGGGGCTAAAGTCAAAATGTCAGCAAGACTTCATTGCTTTTGGAGACTGTAGAGGGAGACTCTCTTTGCCTTTTCCAACTTCTAGAGGCTGCCCATAATCTTTGGTCTGTGGCCCCAGGCAGCAATCGCATCACTCTGTTCTTTGCTTCTGTCACCACATTTCCTCTGACTCTGTCTTTCCTGCCTCCATCTTTCACTTACAAGGACCATCATGGTTACTTTGGACCCTACTTGTTGGTTTAGGATAATCCCCCCTCTCAAGAGCCTTAACTTAATCACATCTGCAAAGTCCCTTTTGTCATATAAGATAACAGTCAAAGACTTTGGAGCTTAGGACAGGAACATCTTGGTGAGGAGGGGATGCATTATTCTGCCTACCACACCGCAACGGTTCTGAGGAATTTCAAGCTCAAGCAAACGGTTAACAGGTGTGATAGAAAGACACAGTCCAGTACTAGACGCTTTTGTGCTGTAAACATCTAAGCTATAATTATCCATTTACTAGATCACACTGTGGATGGCAGTAACAACTATTAGGAACTTGGTGAGAGTAACCGCTGAATGTAATCTCCTCTCAGACACTAGTAGTGGTGCAATCTCAGGCCATTGATTTAGCTGCTGTAAGGCTTGGTTTCCAAATCATGTGTAAAATAGCAATTATATGGCCTCCTCCCTCTCAGGATTATGGGGAGGATCAAGAGAGATAATGCATGTAAAGCCCTTGTCCAGCAAACAAATAGGAACCCTGGAGCTATTATTACCCCGAGTGCAGAGTAAAAATGAAAGCACTGATTTTATCAACTCATAGGCAATAGTCTTGAAGCCGTCCCAATCCTCATTGATTCTGAAAGCTCAGCTAAAGTTTGTTTACTCAAGATTCTTAAAAAAAAAATTGGAAAGGTGATCACCCCTTAATGTACATAATATATTCCCCCACAAAACAATTTTTTGTTATGTATCTTTTTATTTATTACTTACAGATATGGGGATCTTACTATGTTGGCCAGGCTGGCCTCAACTCCAGGGCTCAAGCAATCCTCCCCGCTTGGCGTCCTCTAAGTGTTGGAATTAAAGGCGTGAGCCACCACACCTGAGAAACAGTGTAGCTGGAGATTCTGTGGCGTGTAAAAGTTTGAAAGAACTATCTAAAACAGTGAATCTGGAAGCTTATGCAGACAACTTCTGCGTAAGCCCTACTCCCTGTCAGCAGACATCACATTCTCAGTTCCCACAGCCACTTCCTGACAAAGATAAATGTGAGCATTTGTCTACCACTTCAAAATGTACCTTTCTACACACATGCCGTCTTCACTCTGACATATCCTTCCTAACCCACACCTGAGCTAAAAGACTGATGAGGAGTCAAGTCATATATTCTTCTAAATCCAAGTTTGAACTTAGAACTAGAAAATAGACACAGTGGGAGGTGTTTTTTGGAGTCTGATCTCTGTGACTCACTCTCTGATCCACAAATTCACTTTGGGTCTTATGTGTCTCATCTCTGGTTCTTCCTAATTTAGGAGAATGACCTCACAGTAAAGGAATTTATTAGTAATCTGTGTCACATGAAGTGGTAATGAAGAGGTAGCAGTATTGAAATGCAATAATTAGTGAAATGTACTTCAAAGTGGTCTTAAACTCTGTAATTACCAACTTCAATGGTGTAAATACATACCAGCTTCAACTTATTAACTCATACAATCTATCAGATTCACTCACCAGTTATTTGTAAAACTTCAATCACAATGTTAATTAATAGTAATTGAATTGTGATAGTAAATAGCAACTGGTTATCTAAATTATACAAACCTTATAAAACATCACCTGAGAAAAGAAACTCACTTGTAATTTATTAAACGCTCCTGTGTTTAACTTACTTTATTACAAAAGCAGTAGATTTTGATTGGGCATGATTTCTCATGCCTGTTATCCTAGCACTGTGGGAAGCCAAGGTAGGCGGACTGCTTGAGCTCAGGAGTTCGAAACCAGCCTGGGAAACATGATGAGACCCTCATCTTTTTTTTTTTTTTTTTTTTTTTTTAGACGGAGTTTCGCTCTTGTTACCCAGGCTGGAGTGCAATGGCACGATCTTGGCTCACCGAAACCTCCGCCTCCTGGGTTCAGGCAATTCTCCTGCCTCAGCCTCCTGAGTAGCTGGGATTACAGGCGTGCGCCACCATGACCAGCTAATTTTTTGTATTTTTAGTCGAGATGGGGTTTCACCATGTTGACCAGGATGGTCTCATGGTCTCAATCTCTTGACCTCGTGATCCACCCGCCTCGGCCTCCCAAAGTGCTGGGATTACAGGCTTGAGACACCATGCCCGGCCCTGAGACCCTCATCTTTACAAAAAATACAAAAATTAGCTGGGTATGGTGGTGCGCACCTGTAATCCTAGCTACTTGAGGGTCTGAGGCAGAAGGATGGCTTGAACCCAGGATGTCGAGGCTGCGGAGAGCTGAAATCGAGTCACTGCACTCCAGCCTGGGTGACAGAGTGAGACTCTCTCTCAAAAAACAAAAACCCAGTATATTTTATTTTTGTTTTTATTTAAAAAATATTTATTTGAGACAGGGTCTCACTATTACCCATGCTGGAGTGCAGTGGCGTGATCATGGCTCACTGCAGGCTCAGCCTCCTGAGTAGCTACAGGTGTGTGCCCAGCTAATTTTTGTATTTTTTGTAGAGATGGAGTCTCTCTATGTCGCCTAGTCGAGTCTTGAACTTCTGGGCTCAATGGATCCTCCTGCCTCAGCCTCCCAAATACTGGAATTACAGGCATGAGCCACCAC